ATTTTACATTACAACATAATATATTTTATAAATTTTTTAATTTATCTATTATTTGCAACATTTTTTATGCAATATTTTGATTTAATATTAAATTAAGCCAAATATTGGAATCATTTCTTTTTTAGAAATTATCAGTAAATTGTGATTATTTTTTGATTCCTAAATTCGTATAATATATGATGTATTCCATGCCAAATTCAAAGTCCATCTGCAATTGTATCTCCGATTTTTTTTCAACTTTTTTTTCTTTTAGTCCCGTGTAGAAATGTCGCTAAGCTTCCCAACGTGATAATGGATTCCGACTAGAACCGCGATAGAAAATCTAGCCTAGAAAAGTCGTACTCGAACCTGATTAGATTCTTGTGAGAAATTCAGACTAGAAATATCTGCTGAGATCCCGTTTGAATTCTAGAAAGGCAATTCAAACTAGAAAAATCTGATTAAGCCCTTACTAAATTCTAGCTAGAAATACCTCGAATCGGACTTAGATTATTTTTCGATGTTTTCTTTATTTAAAATATGAATTTAATTATGTTCAATAAGGGACACAAATATTTTTAAAATGTTCGTTTTAGAAATAATAATAAAAAGAATAAATATTAATAATAATAATAAATTATAATAATAAAATTATTAAATAAATTAAATTTATTATTAAATACCACCGAGTGATAGAATCAAAATAATATTATTAATAAATTACATTATTATATATAGTTTCACTTTTTATTTAATTTAAAAATAATATTTCAATTTAAATCGAAAATATCGAAATCGATGTATCGAAATTTTCAATATATCGATGTTCCATCGTCGAGAATGATGACATGAATGGTGCAAGTGCACATGTCATTTTGTGTGAACCTGAATTTTATTGTTCTTTTGTTAATTAATAATGGAAAATAATGAGAGGAAAAAAAGCAATCGCGAATGCGTAGCAAACAATATCTTGAGGTGAAATCCGTACGCGTTGAATTAAATAGAATGCAATATGTTCAAGAGCAAGTTATGGATATTAACAATTTAGATGACACAAATCACTTATCTTCTTTATCAGAAGGTAAATATTAACATAATATTATCAATTTAAGAATATTTAATATTAAGCCAACAAACATGAAATATGTACTTAGAATATTAAAAGTAAAAAATATGATTATTCCAATTTCTTCAGGTAATATTATGATTTCTAACTTTTTTATCTATAATTCTGGTTAAAATTTGTGTTAGTACTGTTTGGAGGTTAGGAAGTTCAATTAAACTTCACGGCTGTAATAAATAGCATAACGGGCGTTTTTAACTCTACAATTTCAAAAACACACACGGAAGAAAGGACGTTGGATCTTTATATAAATATGTTTTTTGGATTTATAAAATATTTATTACTTTTATTATATTACTTTTTATTTGATAATAATCGATTAAAGGGAGCTAATAGGGTTCTAGCGAGAACCCTTTACTTCTGGTAGGGAAATCGCAGGGATATCCCTGCTAGATCCCTATTAACATTCCTCGCTGGCGTCGATCGTGACAAAAAATGCCGGGTCCCGCGTAGAGTTTCCCTTCCGGAACCCATCTGGCAAAAGGGACGCACAGCGAGGTCCCTATTAAAATCTAACTCAAATTTCTGCACGGGGTACTAATTGAGACTAGAGCTTTCATGATTTTTTTCAAATTTTTTTTAGCAACCATGAAAATCGTCTTTAAGACGATACAATTTTGCGCCTATTGCGGAACCAACTTTACAGTAACTTTTAATTTTAACAATAAAATCATTAAATATTCACTAGAGCAGGGTGCGGAAGTTGACGAGAATTATCACAAAAATGGCGAGTGGGGAAAACGTGAGAATAATTGGTTAAGAAGTTTCGTCATTGATCGAAATCTAAGACACCATAAAATGTCTTAAAAATAAAAACAAATGTGTCTTAAATTAAAACATTCGATTCTCAGTGGGATGCTAATTTTTATATACTGTCAATTCATATATTATTACAAATACTTCGATGAGACATATTTGAAATATAAATAGCACTGGACTTTGCTCATCAGACATATATTTGTTTAGGATTAGAGGTATGAGCTAAATACATATATATTATACCTACATTAAGAGTATATATAAACTCTCGCTTTTAATCAAAATGATATAATTTTTGCTCTGATTATGGACAGGAGTAATAATTCAATTAGTTGTCAATTTAGTTGTCGTCACTTGATGAACGTAATTTAGGCATGTAAACGCACGAAGAAATAATTAACAATAAATTATCTTGCCGAGCTATCATTATACACTGGCTAATCGTGGCAAATTGACCGTTATGTTATTAAACAGCTTACAGACGTTAATTGCTTGTTCCGTGTGAATTGCATGTTAAAAAAGGAGAATATAAATATATGGAAACATGATTTTAACCATCTACATAAAACCCTTTGAGGAAAAAATGTGAAATAGTTTTTCCTTTACAAAACGATGAAAATTTTACTGTCAATTAACTATTAATTGTTATACTAATATTTCAGTTTGATTTTGACAACAAAACGTTTGGTTAGTATATTTAAGAAACCAAATTTTTTCCGTTGCGTCATCAAAATTGTGTTTATCCCAACCACAGATTAGTGAAGACAACAAAAACCTCTTTGTTTAATGTTAGTTGTGTCAACTAAAGTTTGATTGACACAAAGAAAATTTTGTTGAGGCAAAAAAAGAAATTTGTTGCTTAAATACAAACCAAACGTTTTATTGTCAAAACTAAACCCTTTTTTCTGTTTAATTTTATATATTGAAGTTAAATATTGATTTACGGAGAAAAAAATTTCTTAATTGTTTTTGTATATGGTTAGTAGGGTGGTCTAGAAAGATATAAAAGTCAGAAATGTTTTACTCCATCCCCCCTTCAACTTATTCCAAAGTGAAAATAATATATACTTTTGAAATCGGAGAGTACTTAGAAGTCCCATGCATTTTATTCTTAAAGTTAGAATAAGAAAATAAGAAACAATTCTTAAGTTAAGAAATATTCTACAGACTAAAGAAAAAAATTCTTAATTTAAGATATGTTTCTTATTTTAAGAATATTGGTTGGTTTTCATTGTTCCCACTTGCCATTTGTCATAATTCTCGTCAACTACCGCGCCTCCTGCTCTATAGTGAAAATTTTAGTGACTTTATTGTTAAAATTAAAAGTTACTATAAAGTTACTAAATTTTCACTAGAGCAGGGTGCGGTAGTTATGACGATAATTATGACAAATGCGGCGAGTGAAGACAATGAAAACCAAAACCTGTTATATTCTAACTTTACGAATAAAATGCATGGGAAGTATTCCTAAATAGACGCTAAGATATCCTTAAAATTAGACTATCGTCTTCAAGATTTTTCCTATTGTGGAACCAACCTCACAAGGTTTTGTCTCCAATACAATAAATAAATACACACCCAATTGTATAAATATGCTGTCCTTCCGGTTTAACGACATTTTGTAAAGTCGTGACATTTTTTAATAATTTAAACAGTTCGTAGCGTATATGGTGTATATACATTACGCCGAACTAATAAAATTATTATAGAAGTGTCACGACATTTATAAAATGTCGTTAAACCCAAAAAGGACAGCATTTATGCAATTGGGTGTATAAAATAATTAGTGGAATATCCACGTAAGCTTCAAATGTCCCACCTGACCCAAGCTTGCATGGTATAAGCTTACCGAAAGATTGCTCAGTAATCCTACCGAAAGATTGCAGTGTAAGGTTACTGCAAAATTGCACAATAAGATTATCGCATGATTGCTCAGAAAGCTTGTAGCAAGCTTGATACAAAGTTGTTAAATAACCTTATTTTTAACCTAAAAAAATTTTTTTTTAATGTTTCGTCTAATTTATACAATTTTATTATATTAATTTGATTATATAAATTAGACGATTAAAGATTAAAAAAATTTTTTTTTTAGGTTTAAAGCAAGGTTATTTGGCAACTTTGCACCAACCTTGCTACAAGCTTACCGTGCAATCTTACTGAGCAATCTTGCGATAATGTATAGCTTATTGTGCAATATTGTAGTAACTTTACACTATAATTATATGTAAACCAACTCCATTTCTGGGCCATTAGGCTGAAAATAAATAATATTATTATTAGTAACTTTACACTATAATCTTTCTGTAGGATTACTGAGCAATCTTTCGGTAAGCTTACCATGCAAGCTTGGTTCAGGTAGGACATTTGAAGCTTGCGGCAAGTTTCCCATGCAAGGTTGGCAATATTGCGCGAGAAGCTTGCTGCAAGTTTACGTGCTATCTGGGTCTGAATTGTGGCACTTTGCAGGGATTGGTATAGCTTTTTTCGATACATGGCAGGAAACTAGAATAGAAAGAAGCAGGGTGAGACAGCTCGAATAAAAATTAAAGTCGGTACAATGTAGAATTTATGTCGGCTGGCCTACCTGGCGACATAGGCCAGCGAGACAAATCGTACATACTGTTTACATAGAAATGTAACGCATAGCTATATATATTCTAAATGGAAACAATGTGCTAGGACGTATGTAGGAATTATACCAGTAGATTGTACATCGGACAAACGTAGAATCTACATAAGAATGTAACGCTTGGCTACATCTGCTCTATGTATGCCAAGAGATGCATTATGTAGAATCTATGTAAGATTTATACGTATTAGTTACGTAAAACAAATGTTGTGGGATCTATTTAGGGTTTGTATGTAATTTCTAAGTGGGCCCAACAGTATAGGATCTATATAGAAATTTTGAGTATATTCTATACAGGTCACATGTTATAAGAATTATGTAGGGTTTTAAGTTATTTCTACGTATTAGGACGAATGACATAGAATGTATAAAGGATTTTTGTATTGGCCTTATGTATGTCAAAGGATACAGGATATACATGGGGTTTGTATATAACCTCTGGGTATGCCAAATGATATAGAAGCTCAATAGCAAAAAAGTTAATTAATTAAAAATTAATCGTATACGAACGTGTAAGAATTTATCCCATTGCATCAATTATTTCTGGTTTCGAATACTTCTCTTTACTTGCCGTAGATTTGAAAGTATAATTAGACCTGAAAATGAAAAATTTATTTAAAAAAATGGTATATTTCAATAAAATTTTAAATATTGCTAAACAATGAGTATTTTTATATTACCAATTTGCTATTAAATTTTTGAAAAAATTCTATACTTATAACAAAAAAATATACCTTCAATAAGATTTTGCATCAATTTGTTCTATTTAATATTTTTTTATCCGGTACTAGTTTTGGATGAGCTGAACCTCACTGCCGCATCTCACGACTCAATAAAGCCGATAAAATTTGAAGAACAATAATTGTTTTTAAGTCTGCTCACTTAAATCAATGCTATATAACAGGGTCGATTTCTGTAATAATTAATAATGTATTATTATTAATTACAATGAATATTTTAAACTTTTCAGTATTCAAAAAAATTAAATTTTCTATTTGACTTACTAAAGAGTGTTGCAGTTCTTTATTAGTCGGAAAAAGTCCCTTTAATTTGTCAAATTCTTCCATTGTTTACAGTGGAAGTTTAACTTCGAATTTAGAGGCTAAATTTTCCGACATGGTTTTCTGGCAAAAAGCATGTTGGACGTTTTTCTTTCTTAATTTTTTTACTTCCCTTTTTATATATTCTATATCTTCTCCTATCTTCAGTATATCTTATCGAATATCACATCTATTTTCTCATCTCTGTCTATAAAAAATAAGTATATTGAGAACGGTTACAAATATAAGATATGTACACTGAAAAATAATTTATTTGATTCAAATAATCCCGCACAATAAAAGAATATAGGATATCCTTATAATACCCTAGGATATCCTTATAATACCTTAGGACACCTTATAATACCCTAGGATATCCTTATAGTACCCTAGGATATCCTTATAATATCCTAGGATATCCTTATAATACCCTAGGATATCCTTATAATATCCTAATAATATCCTATAGGATATCCAAAGCCCCTGTATAAAGGAAATTTTTTCCAGATATCCCTAAGAAATCATACAGAAAACTTAGTAGATATTTTAATAGATTTTAGAAAACCAGACGATATATTAAAGTAAATATCAACATTTTATTTAGACTTGATTTACAGTGGAAATTTACATGCGCCCGTTCTAAACTAAACTTTAAATAAAGTTAGTTTTTTATAATATCCATTTAATTTTGTGAATTTGTTAAATAGTTTTTTTATTTTATTTTTTATTTGTATTATGTTTTGGTTTCGCAGTGTATTGCTCTGAGGAGGCTCGTCTGCGTGTCAGAGCGAAAGCTTAGCGTTTTTGTCGATTTTTATCGATTAAAAAAATTGTACGGATCAGACGAATAAAAAATATAACATCTATTACTAAATATGAGTTCCTGATTAACAACTTTTACATCTTATTAAATTTAAATAAAAGTGATAGATATTTTCCATATATTAAAATAAAACTTAAAAATTGTGTTAAATTAAACAAAAATTGTTCAAACATATCTCTATATTTATAAATTAAGAATCCTTTATTTTAAGTGTACATAAAGGTTTACTATTTGAAGAATTCATAATTTTTCTAAACACCATTCAATAAAAAATGCTTATAATTAGGGAATGCTGTAAATTGTATACACTGAGAAATATAAATTTATTTGATTCAAATAATCGGTTACTTGAATATTATCAAATAAATATTAATTTATATTAAATAATTATTAAAATTAATTAATTAATAATTAAAATTTATTTTTTTTAATTAAAAATAGAAAACTATTCTCATATAAAAAAATTGGTCCTCGCGCAAGCACTTGTGCGCAAAGCGCGGTTATACGTAAGATATTTGAAAATGACCAATAATATGAACTTGTTTTTAGGGAATCCCATATATTACCCGTCGGAACACAGATTGTACACTTCATATTCTCTCAATAACAAAATACTCCTTCAATTTGTTTATTGAGAAATTAAGTTTCCATATTTTTTTATGTATACACGGTACAAAAATACAAAAAATAATTTTTGTTTTTACGTTTTTACTCTTAAAAAAAAAATCGAAGACTATAAGTATAAAAAAGTAATTTTTTCCTTATAAAGAAATAAAATATTCCAAATTTTCATTAAAATACATGTAATAAAGTTCATGAAAAAATTTTTGCATAGAAACGAAAAAGCAGTTAATTTTTTATTTTTTTATGAAAAATTAATTTATTATATGGAATAAAAAATTAAATATGCAATTTTGTATTCCTTTAAAATTAATCATATATACTGATATGTAAAAGCAATTTTTTTATGATTTTTCAAATTCTAAAATTTTATCAAAATCTCTAGTTGACAATATTATTTGCATTTATTTAAGAACCTAAAAAAATTTTTTAAAATGAATATTACTGTAACACATTATTTTCATTGAATTGTTAAAAATAATTTTAAAAAATTTCATTTTAAAAAATGCGTCTGATAAAGAAGAAATACTTGGTCATTAAATTTTTCAGGACTTTTTTGAATGTGTTGCTGCTGAGCTTTAAAAGATGGCGCCACCATATATACTTGAGACTATCAACCGATCTGGATCACAATCTACTAGATGGCACACTATAGGCAATTCACGTTTAAATAAAATGAGTATTTTTAAAAAATAATACAAAATTAGAAAATTAAGAATGCAAAAAATTGTATTTTTAGAAAAAAAAAATTTCTTTGCTTTCCATTTTAATTTTCTTAATAAATTGAAACTATATTTATTATTTTAGGAAATTATAACATTTCTTTAAGGTTTTTAATATATATGTGTATATTTATTGCAAATAAATTTTTTTAATGATAATATACAAGTTTACTTTGATTTATTAAATATTTAATATCCATTTTTTATTATTTAATTAGCCTAAAATTTTTACCCACTTTATGTCTCTAAGTTAAATTTTTTTTTTTTTTTTTTTGTTCTATAGGTGTTAAGTCAATGTTATATAGAAATGGCTAATTACTAAAAACGATTCAAGTTTACAAGAATAACGTCAAAAAGTTCACTTTAAGGAAAATAATTGAATATATGGGTATATATTAAAATATTTATAATAGTAATTTTTGGCTACTTTAAAAACACATTATTATAAATGAATTGGAGTATGGTTTTCTTTGCTTAATAGCTTCATTCATTCTTTGTTACAAACCTCTCTCAGAAGAACATCATTATCCTCATAAATGTATGTCTTCAAACCACTTGATCCCACGGTCATCATTAACAATCATAAACATGAAACCTTTCGTTATGTATTTTACTGCAAGACCAATATTGTTATTTAACAATATATATTGGTATTTAAGTTCACTAAAAGATGTTATAATATACAAATCAATAGAGTACAATTTGTAACCTCCTAGTAATCAATAATAATTATTCACTTCGTAACTGTAAAAGCCAAATTATAGTTATTATTATATTATTATGCGGCACAACAACAAAACATGCCAATTTACTAAAAAGAATTTAAATAATGTTTTTATCAATCATTAGATAATAAATATGATTCTCACTTATTTTGGCTGGTACATAAATATGTATCTTAAAACATGTCTATTAATTAAAACATTACTATTAAGTAAAATAACTTACATTAAATATAAATAGGAATAATTTTCTCTAACAAACAATGAATCGTTGAAATAAAAAATAACTGTAATTTTTTTTAAAATATGTAATTAGAATGTTAATTGTGCTTATTTTAATGTAAGTATGCGACTAAGAAAAAAGATTTCTTTGATTCAATGAAATCAATTTCTTTGTCAAATTTTTCTTTGATACAAAAAAAAATATTTGTTTCAAACAAACTATATCTTTGATTCAAAAAAAAATATTTACGTTTCTTCAGTTAAGTATAATTTTTAATTATATAAATTACAGATAAATTTTAGAAATATTTTTAAAAAAGTTTAATTTAAAAAAATTTTTTAAAAAGAAAATAATTTGTTTTAAATAAAACTATTTGTCTCCGATATAAATAATTATTAAGTTCTGAAACCCAAATATATGTTTTCTCTGGGTATGCGTATACGGTTAATACAGGCTCTGTTATAAATGAGTGACCAATTAAGTTAGGGGGCGATAAATAATTATAATTATAATATGATAATCATAATTATTAATTTAACCTACTCATTTGTGAGTAATTATGTTCAATATCCGTGATTTTAAAACAATTTAAAAATACACATATATTATCTCATTGTATCAACAAATTAGAATGCAATAAAAATCCTTATATTGTTGCAGCTCAAAACTACATTTTAACTTAAAGATGTTACACGTTTTTATTGTAATATTAAAGTGACATCTTTTTTTCTGTTAACTGGAACATTATCAGTATGATTTTACACAATTTACTTCAATATTGTTCGATATTTTGATTTGATACCTCACACAATAGCGTATATATATATCCAAGAGTGAGAAGCTTTTAAACCGGTATTTGAACTTGTCTGATGACGGTAATCACGTTCTCTCGATGCTTCAATTGTACGTTTCGTCGAGTTTCCGCGCCTGCTTTCTTTACGATCGAAATTAACTTACACCATAGTGGTCAGAATCCTTTCTCATCCTTGTAGCATTCACACATCGTTTCAACTACGCTTATCGTGCTCACTTTGGTCAAGAATAGAAAAAAAAAAATAAATCGATGTGGAAGAGAATATGTGTTTTCATAAAAAAAATATTTATATTGATATTCTCGTTATTTTATTTAGTTCTAAATTCAACATACTTATTTAAAAAAAAATTTGTAATTATCTTTCAAAATTTACTTTGGAATAATTGAACCTCCCAATTCTGTAACTCGTTTAGCGCTCGGCCGGACGCTCTATTGGTAATCGGGTAGCAGCGAGGGAGCCATTGACGCTCGCTGCTACCCGACTACTAATAGAGCGTCCGTCCGAGCGCTAATCGAGTTACAGAATTGGGAGGTTCAATTTTGTTTCTTATACTGAAAAAAATGTTGCCGAGAAATTCAACTACCATTGGGTATAGTTGACTAGAAAGTAGTTAAAATAACTACTTTTTCAGTTAATCTAATCATGTTCATGTAGTTAATGTAACTATTTTTAAGAAGTTAATAAGTAATAGTTGATTTTACGTAAATATGTAGTTAAAGTACAACTACAAATCGGTAGTAAAATTAACTTTCTTAAGGTATAGTAAAAACAAGTGGAATTGTAGTCAACTCAAAATTTCAAGAGTAGTAAATCCAACTATACTATTCACCAGTTATATGAAATGTAGTAGGGTCAGTCGGGGTAAATCCGAACGGGGGGTAAATCCGAACGCTAATTATTTCAGCTTAATTAAAATTTTTAAAAATAAGTTCGATATGAGAATTTTTACCTCAGATCCTCTTGAAGAGATTCTAAGTATTATCCCATTTTTTGTTTGTTAATTAGCAACAGCATAAACAAAGATAACGAGTATTGCAAAAAAGATTGAAAATCAAAGATGACACTCTTTCAGTATTTTGTCTCGTATTTGAAGAAAAAGAAGCTAAAAATTCATTTTATTATTTATAATTGTTTGTTATGAATACTAGAACAGAAACTATATTTGATTTTTGCCTTCTGTAAAATTTTATTAATAATATCAGACCGTTCGTATTTACCCAAAAAAATTGGAAAACTGGGGTAAATCCGAACGGTATTTTTAATAATTTTTTTTTACTTCAAAGCCACACAAAATTGTTTTTATTTGATTACACTATTATTTTAACATTATAAAAGTACATAGAAAAAAGTTTTTCTTTCTATACGTATCCTCGTTAGTAATTAATAAGCAGAAACTTAATCTCTGTTCTCTCGAAGGAGTGTTTCAATTTTTTTGCCAAATGGTTTGTTGAAAAAAGTTTTTCAGGATCTTAATAAAATTTGGTATTCTACGGTTTTTGGGGTCGCTAATTACCAATTTGAAGTCAGTTTTTCAAAATTCAAAATGGCGGACGAGAATTAAAAAATTTATTGGATTCGCTCGAAAATTGTTACTCGGGGGGTTTCAGGGTTAGCAAATTTGATCATTTTTAAAAATAAGTTTTAGGAAAGTACGCCATTTTGAATTTAAAAAATTTGACTTTTATTTTTGTATTTACATTCAATCACTCCAAAATACTTTCTGTACCAAGTTTTGCAAAAATCCGTTATGATTTGATAAAGTTATTGAAGGTTTTAATTGTGTAATGCATTTTAATTTTTAACCTGTTTGATTTTTGTATTTATATATGATGCATTATTACATAATAGGTTTATTATCGTATTTTTTTTGAGTTTTTATATAAGTTTAACAATTGCAATACTTTAAATTTATTTTCCCTAAGATTTTTCTGAAATACAGTGGCGTTCGTATTTACCCCCATATTTTAGGAAAGTTGCAAAGTATCGAGGTAAATACGAACGCTAAGTTTCCTGCGATTGTAATTTATCAAAAATTTTCTCTACCCCATAAAATTGTTCTATGGAAGTAAAGTAACAACTTCATGCACCAGAATACCGGAAGTATTTTTTTTTTAAAGAAAAAACTTATGTTATTGTTGAAACTTACTAAAAGCGTTCGGATTTACCCCAGTTGACCCTAAATGGAATTATTTTCTTTAATTCATATAACTGCTTTTTGAGTAGTCAATTTTTTATTAATTTCTATGATTCAATAAAATTCTTGTTGTAGAATTAACAAGTCGTCTGTAATTAAAACTACTACTTTAAGTAGTAGATTTTTACTATTTTAATTAATTCGATAAACTTAAAGAAGATTTTTTATGTAGAATTTACAAATCGTTTCCAGTTAAAACTACTACTTTAAGTAGTAGATTTTACTAATCAAAGTGGTACAATAGACTTTAAGAACATTTTTGTTGTAGAATTAACAAATCCTTTGTGATTAAAACTACTACTTTAAGTGGTAATTTTTTACTATTTTAATTAATTCAATAAGCTTGAAAAACGTTTTTGATGTAAAATTTACAAATCGTTTCCAATTAAAACTACTACTTTCAGTAGTAGCTTTTACTACTTAAAGTGGTTCAATAGGCTTTAAGAACATTTATGTCGTAGAATTAAAAAATCCTTTGCAATTAAAACTATCACTTTAAGTAGTAGATTTTACTGCACTATGCAATTAAACAACTTACAATGTAATTAAAAGATGAAAAATTTACAACACAGAAAATTAAAAGATATTAAAATAAGCTGCAACGCTTCTTATTTTAATCAAATTTTTCTTATTTTAATCCATTTTGGTATTAAAATAAGTAAAAATGGATTAAAATAAGAAGCGTTGCAGCTTATTTTAATACCTTTTAGTTTTCTGTGAAGTCAAAACTTAAAAAGGATAGTTATAGCAACTAATAAAAGTAGTAAAAATGACTACTTTAAATAGTTAAATTACCAATTGGACAAGCAGAAAGTAGTCTTCGAGTAGTTTGCAGAATGTCGTAGCGAGCGTGCGTGGTTAGTCGGTTAAGGTCTCCACTTGCTATTTGTCATAACTCTCGTCAACTACCGCACCCTGCTCAGTTAAAAATTAAGTGACTTTATAGTTAAAATTAAAAGTTACTATAAAGTTACTAAATTTTTACTGAAGCAGGGTGCGGTAGTTGACGAGAATTATGACAAATGGCGAGTGGTGACAATGGAAACCTTCCAAAACGACTTGAAATTCTCTAAAATCCCCAGATATCACTAGATATTTAGCAAACAGATGTAAACATAAAGGCATAAGCAGAATAGATTCTTAATAGGTAATTATGTAAACGAAATCGCCATCGTAAGAATGATGAGTTAGGGAAGGACAGATATATATGTCCGTCCTCCTCTTACAATTGCGTTTCCGTTCCTGACAATCTATTCTCCTAAGGCCTTAACCCAAATTGGAATGTGTAATATCTATTTTTGTCACAAGAAAATAAATTGTAAAAAGAACCTTTTTGATATAATAAGTTTTTACAAAATTAAGCACAACTTATTGTGTACGCATTTTTTTATTTCATAAAAATTATAGGAGTTCTGATTTTTTTTATTATTTAAATAAATTGTTCATTTTGAAAAATCGAACATAAAATTTTTCAGTAATCCGCTCCCATACAGCACCGAAAATTCCCCGAAGATTCATTGAATGTTTACAAGTTAACTTGGGAGTACTGAATCGGCGGGTTCAGAAAAGATTATTTAAATATTAAAATGTCCGCATGTGAGCAAATGTTTTCAACTTTTGCGTTAAACATTTTTGCTCACATGCACGGACATTTTAATA